AATAGCTAATAAAATAAGCATTTTTAGATAAGTGATTCCATAAAAAGAAAAGGCAACTTTTCTCCATCTAGGAATGTTTCTTTCTCGAGTTAGACTTCTGCTGCGGTGTCTGAATAAACAAGTTTTCTGTGCAAATATCCAATACAGCTGAAGTGTACCGAATTAGCTTCTTGTTATTCATATAGACGGTACAGTCAGAAGTATTTTCGACTTCACACTGTAATGAAGCGTATACAAATATCGTGTAGACGGCACGTAGGGGATCCATCTCATTGAATCCTAAAAAGTAGTGTAGTTTAAAATTTCTCATCAAGTATAACATAAGTATCATACTTTTGAAAAAAATGTTTGTGTCTCAAAACAATATGATAAAGAGAAACTAGTTAAAAACACTATATAGAATTAAATCAATGTAAAAAGCGAAACATTTATATTATGCTTCTCGATGTAAAAGAAAAATACACAAAAACGTGCATTCATTTCTATACTTTCACCTNACCAGAAAGAAAGAGAATTTTTGCGGCGTGGGTTCAATTCCTGCTCGAGACGCTATATTTTTTGGTTCCTTTTTTTTCTTTCCCTTAGAAACTTTTCAAAAAAAATTTTGCTCATTAACTGGCAGTACCCCGAGCCAATTTTGGTGGATACATATGCAATCGACTATCCGAAAATGTAGTTTTCATTGACCCTAGTTCTATTTAAAAATTCCACCTATGGGTGATATGCTGACGTATTACGACCGTGTACGATCATCGTAATCATGGTTTTGGGTAGCGATCAATAATATCTGAACTAGGTATTATCTTATTACTGATAGGGTATTTATCTTATTTAGATCAGCTGTTTGTTAATTAGGGTTAAAAAAAGTAAAAGGTAGATGTCGCAGGCACTATATGCAGCCAGATGATCCAGAATTTATATAAAAGATCAGTATATTTTGTTGTGTTAATATGAATTAATGTATCCTTTTTCTTTTCTTTTTCTGACTTCTTACATATGTAAATAAATCTTTTCTTTGTAACAATTAGCGACATCGCTTTTTCTATTTTTCTACTGGTTTATCAAACCAAAAGCAAGGATGAAAGAAAAAAGCCATATTTTACCTTTTCTTTTTATCCTTCTAGGTCACACGACTCATTATGGCATCCTATGATCTACCAGCTGTTATTTTTGTTCAAAATCAGTTCACACATAATGCGTGCAACGGATTCCACTTTTGCGAGACTATAGATAGGTTAACAAATTACAAAGAATTTTTTTTCCTTTGAAAATAGGGAATTGATAGTCAGCTAAATCTGTTTCTTACTTACAAGGTACGCACGTACAACAATATGTTATTTCATATGTTCTTACTAAACATGAAGTCGAAAATCATCGTATGATATTTAGGACGAATCGTACAAATGATGATATTATGACAGATTTATGTATGTAGTTATTTTGGTACACACTTAGTGTCTTTTCAAAATTGCGTTCTCTCTCGCTGTTGTGTATTTGGTAGCATGATTTCTTTTTGAGCAAGAATTTTTTGAAACTTTACTAGCCGCTTGGTTACGGAAAACGTTTTCTGCTTTTTTTTTGTTGGTAAAGATATATGTGAACAATATTACATTTTTCAGAAAGGGAAAAAACCATCGCCATCTTTGACCATGTTAAAAATGAATCGTCCCGAATGGCTATATATTGTGTTCGGATGTATTGGTTGCCTTTGTAATGGAGGCATTCAACCGGCTTATGGTAGGGACATTATAATACCTTTTTAAAATACAACAAATATATTATCAACTTTGTTTAGGTGTTATTCTTAGTAAATTAATAGCGGTATGTTTAGACTGTTTTGGTATTATTCGTATGTTAAATTTTTTACCGTATTCTTTGTTCAGGTATTTCAAGAATGTGATCTAGACAAACAAGAACGCAATGTTCTTCTTTATATCTTGTTATTTATTGGATTTGGTGTTCTTATGCTAATAACTATGTTTTTACAAAGTTATTTATTTGCATGCAGTGGAGAAAAGTTAACGAAACGTTTACGATCAAAAGTATTTCGATTTATGTTAAAACAAGATATGGCTTATTTTGACGATCCGAAAAATAATACTGGAGCACTATGTACTCGTTTAGCCGTAGAAGCTTCAGCTGTTCAAGGTGCAACAGGCATTAGAATTGGTCTTATGCTTCAAAATTTTTCCAGTCTTGGTGTAGGTATTATACTTGGCTTTGTTTACGGTTGGGCACTAACACTAATGCTTCTCGGATTTATTCCACTCATTGTTATTGGTGGATTTTTACAATCAAAACTAGTTAGTGGGTTTGCAAGCAAAGACAAAAAGGCTCTAGAAAACGCTGGAAAGGTATTGAGCTAAAACTATCATTTTATTTTTATATCTTGCTTTTTTCTAATACAGGTGGCTGTAGAAGCCATCCAAAATATTCGTACTGTGGCACAATTAACAAAAGAAGAGCATTTTGGTAACGAATATGCTCATTTAGTGGATATTCCATACAAGTAAATAGAACAGAGTGTCAAATAAACTTTCCCATACTTACAATCATTATTTTTTATATTTTTAGATCATCATTGAAACGAGCATATGTATTTGCTTTTTTTTTTGCATTGACAAATTCCATTACGTTCTTCGCCTTAGCAGCATTATTCTCACTCGGTGCATATTTAGTCGATAAAAACAAAATGCAATTCGAAGATGTTTTGCTGTAAGAAAATGAGCGCAACTTCATTTATAATGTTGTTCTAAATTTCTCAGACGATATACCCATTCATAGAATTGTATAATGGATGGATCACAAAAAATTATAGTGTTAGTATTTTCAAATTTTTTCTCCTGCTTCCTGCACTCGATTGAGCTAATTATTTTACCAAAAGATTACCCATCGGATTCTCTACTAAACATGTCTTGCCTGTTTTATTTTAAAGATATCCGAAGATGAAAAATGTCATGAGAAAGTGTAAAAAGTACTAAAATATAGAAAACATAAACGTATTGTCTCAAAGAGAACTCTATTTTTTCGAAATAAAAAAGCAGCTTTTTTTAACTTCACTAAAGATTTTATTTAGTTTTAAATTATTTTTGACGTTTTGAAATATACAAAGTTCATTTTCAAGAATAAAATCACTATGTACGTAACTTATGAAAACGAAATAGCGCAAGTAAGAAATATATAGATGTACAGTACCACAGACGAAAGAAAAATGAGGGAAGAGAATGAAGGAAGAAAAATTTTTTACCAAATAATAATGAAGCAAGAGAATGATTTCAACTTTTGAACAAGTAAAACGAGATAGTTTCATGAAATAACATTAGAGAAGAGAAACTATCTTGTGAAACTATCTCATTTTACTTGTCCAAAAGTTGAAATTGTTCTCTTGCTTCATTGTTATCCGGTAAAAAAATTTTCTTCTTTCATTCTCTCTCGTCATTTTCCTTTCGTCTATATATTTCTTACTTGCGCTATTCCGTTTTCATAAGTTACGTACATAGTGATTTTGTTCTTGAAAATGAACTTTGTATAGTTCCAAACGTCAAAAATAATTTAAAACTAAATAAAATGCTTTAATAAAGTTAAAAAACGCTACTGTTATCGTGTATTTTATGTTGAAATTATTGCCCATGAATCGTAATAATATATTTTTTCGAATGCTCTCACAAGCTTCAGAGCACGGCTCTAGTATATTTTTATGTAGTTTGCAATACGCTGCCTCATCGTGTAGAATGAAAATCGTTTGAATCTAAATATTCGACGCAAAGATTAACTTCGTCGTAATCAAGCGATAATAGCAAAGATTTTTACCTTTTCTGCGCGACTGAACCAATTTTTCAAATCTAGAGATCTGACGATAACGACTCACTAATACTTATTTATTTTCAAAATAAAAAAAGCAACCTCAATGGATCAAGTTTGACTGGGTTTCATTTGTTTTATTGGAACGCTCAAATTTATGGTAAAAAATCCTCATTTTTTAGAGAAAGTGGAAAAAACATGAAATCATCCACCCTCAATTCTAACTAAAATTTTTCTAAAATTTTAAGTGGAAAATAGAGCTTAACAAATTCTCTCTGACTTACTTTTAGTAAGTAATACCACAAAAAAAACTGTTTTTTAACTTAACTACGTTGATTTTTTCTACATTTTGGTACTTGTCACAATTTTTCATGTCATTTTTACACCTTCCGATTTTGAAAAATAACAGTCGATACATGTTTTGTAGACAATCCGACGGGCAAACTTTTGGTAAAAATAATTAGGTCAATCGAGTGCAATGAGGAGGAGAAACCTCGAAAATACTCACACTATAATTGTTTTTGGGTCACCCGTTATATCTTTACACTATGAGCATGTTCTATAACTTTTACAGCTATTGTCAGCCGTTTCTGGATTAGAACTTTTATGAAAAACATAATTTATGACTACTATGCGTTCCAAAATACGATGGTCTTGGATATTTTTCGAATAACTTTTCACAGAAATGAGAAATGAGATCTGCGGTTCTCAGTTTTGAAAACCAGACACCTAATCACATATTTCTATAAGCAAAAGTGAATTTTGGAAAAGCTTTTGGCGCTGGGTTTCCAGAGGACCTTTAGGAAACTAGCTTGAGTTTTCCGAAATTCACATAGAAATATATTGATTATTTTTATGGACTGATAGCCTGGGTTGTTCTCTTCAAAACGAGAATAAAGTGAGACCTTGATTTTCTGCGATTCGGGCGTTGTATCGCATTGCCGACGGGTCTCAGGACTCGGTGGCTAGCACTCGGTGACTCTTGGTGGTCTTAAAGACGTATGGACTATAGATAATCGACTATGCTGAGTCTCGTGATAATATTTGTTCTTAGAAAAAGTTTTAAAAGTCTACTGAAAAGTCAGTTTTACGAAAACTAGGGTTTTCAGCCTGTTTTTACCTATTATTATTTTACATATTATTATAGAAAAGCCAGTTTTACCTAATATTAAAAAATTCACTATTATAAAATCTCAAGATATGATTAATTTTATCTGCTAAACGTGATTAAAAAATCGAAAAGTATATTTTTGGTAATGGGTTTTCCAGAAACCCTTTTTGGAAAACCTTCAGGTTTTCAAAATTTATTTCTAGATCTCCTATAAATAGAATGTAAAATAGCTTAAATGCTTTACATTCTGAAATGTTGAACTCGTTTTGATGTTTTTTGGTGAATAGTGAACTTCTTAATAATAATAGGTAAAAACAGGCTGAAAACCCTAGTTTTCGTAAAACTGACTTTTCAGTAGACTTTTAAAACTTTTTCTAAGAACAAATATTATCACGAGACTCAGCATAGTCGATTATCCATAGTCCATACGTCTTTAAGACCACCAAGAGTCACCGAGTGCTAGTCCTGAGACCCGTCGGCAATGCGATACAACGCCCGAATCGCAGAAAATCAAGGTCTCACTTTATTCCC